GGCTGGGTCCGCCGAGGGGAGGCGGGAGGCGGGCTCTGCGCGGATTAGCATAAACTTGGGGCCGCGCCGCTCTCCTCTGCCGGCCCCCTCCTCCGCCGCCAGCCCCCTGCCCCAGCTCCGAGCTGACGCCCGAGGGGACGCCTGCAAGCAAGGGGTTAAGAAGGGCGCAGACCCGGGAAGGCCCTGGAAGCACCCCCCCACAACACACCCATCCACAACCGTCGCCTGCGGGCATCTGGCGAGAAGCAGAGCCAGACCTCCGAGACCCACTAGGGCGCAAAGCCACCAACTCGCGGGGCACACTGGCCTTAAAAGCCCACGTGCGCCAGAGGGCCGCAATTAAGGTCTCTGAACCCGAGATGAACGTGTTTAGGTGTGCAGCGACACAACCCCCAGCTGCCTCCTTGGAATAGGCTCGGGCGATCCCTGTTGGCCAGCTCTGCGGTCTTATGCCATCATTATCTGGGGGTGCCCAGGACATGTCATACCTCTGCTGACCCTTCCCCACCAAGTGCTGCAGCCCAGCCAGGTGGCAAGATTGTCTCCTCTAGTAGGATCCTTGTTGTGTCTGTCTCTCTTAGGTATGGGCTGCACCCAGCGCCCAGTGTCCACCACCTCCCAGCCCAGCCAAGGATGCTCTGCTGCTCCTTGTGCAATAGAAGTTCTTGGCTGCTGGACCACAGGCCTGGCTCATAATCGTGTCTGGTCAAAGAAAGTCTGAGGTCTTTCCCTCAAGGAGCTGCTGTTAAGCCAGCCTTCCTTCATATTTCACTTATGATATTGACTCTGAACCTGAGAGTTGGCCTTTACATTTATCCTCATTCAATATCATTGCAACAACTTTCTGGCCGGCAAAGAGCCCTTTGAATCCTGATTCTGTCGTCCAACAGAGTGGCACTTCCTGCAAAGGTGTACAGGGGCCTCCTGTGTCTTTACCCAAGTTGTTGACAGAGTGAAGGGTGCACAGAACTCTAAGGCACACCTGGAGAGACCTCCCTCCAAATGAACTTTGAGACCGGAATCAACACTCTTTGGGTAAGGTGATGCCATCAAGGATGCTCATCAGCTCTCCCCCTCCCAGATGGACGTCCTTCTTAGACAACATGCTCTAAGCCCTGCATCGGACGGGGCAGCTCTGACACTCACATCCATGCCCCTGACCTCTCCCAACCACAGTGGATTCTGGGTCCCGTGGGGCGGATCCAAGCTGGGCCGAGTGTTCTTTCTCCTGGGCTTTGGAACTGGCATGCAGAGGCTGAGGAGAATCCAGCTTCAAAGTGGGGGTCTTTGGGGAGTGGTGAGAAGACAGGCTATGGTATGCCACAGCCAGAGCTCTGTGGAAGTTCTGGGTAAATTGAGGAAGAGGGACTAGCCGTGGCTTCCCCTCTGCTTCCAGTAACTCACTCTACTTGAGCTAGCTTGAGTGAGTTTTTTATCCCAGCAACCAAACCAAGCCTTTCACCTGCCACACAAATCCACCAAATGTGCTTTTTATATCAACCAGCCCACTTTTCCCAGCCTTTAACAAAGTTATCCTGAGCCATTTTGCTGAGGGCAAGATACACAGTATCTGTGACCTATTCCTAATCTTGTCACCACTCTGGGGAAGTGGGAGACTTCTGAGGGAGAATGAACAGGGCCTAGCTAGCAAGGATGGCGAGACTCTGCCTCACTTACTTTGGACACATCAACAGGAAAGCCCAACTGCTAGAAAAGGCCAACATGTTTGGTGAAGTCAGTGGTCAGTGAAAATGAGGGAAACCCTCGATGAGACGGATTCACACAACAGCCACAACGGACTCAAACATATCAAAGACCATGGAGATGGCGCAGGACTGGGCAGTGTTTCGTTGTTATACATAAGGTCACGGTGAGTGGCAGCCAACTCAGCGGCTACTAACAATAACAACACAGCTTCTCACCCTAGGCTGGGTTCTGACTGCCGGGCAGCACTGCCCTGCCGGCGCTGGGAAGAAACTACCCCCCCATCCGCCCCGCCCCAGAAGCTGTGATCCTTTTCCAAGGGGCCCCGCCCCTTCCTCTCACTCCCTTCCCCAGTCCCAGATGTGGAGCCTACAGCGCATGGGGAGGAGGCTAGACTCTGTTTAAACTTGGAAATGTCCACAGAACAAGAAGCTGAAGGAACAGCTGGACCCCACTTCCCCTTCCCCAGGTGGCTGACCTCAAACACTGTGCTCCCTCTTTATTTGGAATAGTTTGGGAGCCAGGGCTGGGCTCCCATCCTGGTGGGGGCGGAGGACAGCAGTAGGGAGAGATGCTCAGGGTCTTGGCTGGATCCAGCCAGAGGCTGGGGTCTCCCCTGCAGACGATGAGGCCACTTTCCATCTGCCAGATAGGAAACTTAGGGAGGCCAGAGACAGGGGAGGGAGGCAGACAGTCGAGTCCTTTCCCCACTCAGACTCAAGCTTCTACACCTGGACGGAGGCGGGCTGAGTGGCCACACACAGTACGGTGCTGTTTCCTTAGATGTGCACGGCCACCTCTCGACATACAGTCCACCTGAGCCCACCACATACATAGGAGCATATTTTCCCTACCTTCACCAGCCCTTGGCCACAGATGTACCACCTCTCTCCTCAGGTAGAACTGAGGGTGCCATCAGGATGCAAGATGATCCTTGACAGCGATGACAGTAAAGTTTTGGATTTAGTGTCCATCTGTGGCACAGCGGGAAGACAGGCGTGGGAACCTCTGCAGAAACTGGAGCTCCCCTCCCTCCTCTGAGGGTTGCCCTAGGGCAGAAGGAAAGAACAGGATTTTGGGGGCAGACAAGGTGAGCCAGGTGATCCCTGGAAGCTGCAAAGAGGCAGGCTTGCTTAGTGGAGAGTGAGCACGTGGCACTGCTTGGCACCCTGCGTGCCTGGGATATTCCTTCCCTGCCTCCATGCGCCTCTCAGAATCCCAGGTTCCTCTCCCCTCTCCAGGCTCCTCCCACCTCACCCCAGGATCTGTCTCCTTTTCCGATTGAGGGCTGAGGGCCGCTGACCCACCACAAAACAGCACTGAGAACAACTCATAGTTTTATGGAATTTAGCCGTCTAAAGCAAGAAGGGGCAGTGGTAGTTCAGTGGTAGAATTATGGCCTTTGCCCTCCATGTGAGAGAGCGGGGTTTGATTCGTAACCAATGCACCTCCTGTGCAGCTAACCACCGGTCTGCAGTGGAGGCTTGTATGCTGCTTTGATGCTGAGCAGGTTTCAGTGGTGCTTCCAGACTAAGAGAGACTAGGAAGAAAGGACTGGCAATCTACTTCTGAAATCAGCCAGTGAAAACCCTATGGATCACAATGGTTCAATCCCCAGTCGATCATGGGGATGGTGCAGGACCGGGCAGTGCTTCATTCTGTTGTGCATGGGATTGCCAAGTTGGGAGCTGACTCAACAGCACCTAACAACAACAAAAGAGCCAGACAGAGAAAGTACTGAGCTACCAGCTTTCTGGCACAAGCCCTTGACACTGCAGATGGTGGCCTGTGGCTCAAAGAAGTGCAGGCCCTGGAGCCAACTGATGGTGGCACCAGCCCTAGGATACAAGCTCCTGACACCTAAACCAGCCCTTTATCCCTGCCCACCACCCCTACCCTATCTCCTTTCTTCTGAGAGGGCAGAGCCAGGCCTTCCCTGCATACCACGCCATTCTTGGAAGTTCTGTGCAGCAAGACTCTTCGCCTGGCCTCACGCTTTCTACACATAACCGTCAGCATGCTCAAAGCCCATGGGGCGTTTTGATGACACCTGCATTATCAAAAAAGGTTACTGTCAAATCCACATGCGTTTCCAGGGCAGGGGTTTGCAATGACCCCTTCTAGCTGGGCGGAAGTGTGGCTGCTTTAGGGCCCTGAGGTGGGCTGATGGCCTGGGAGAGAGCCCAGAAATCAGGAAGCTGGACCCTGTAAAGCCACATGGACTTGCACTGAGTGAGTTGCTTAGAAGCAGCTTGAACATCGTGGAGAGCTGCTGGGCCCTCAGAGTGGACACATGCAAACCAGATGCAACCATTATGCAAATCATACGCAAAATATTTTCATGGGCCGCCCAACTATTGCAAATGTCAGATGAGGCCCCTGGGGACCCTGAGTTTAGCTGAGTCCTATTGTGGGAATGAGAGATGGGCTGGGACTCACCAGTCTCTTATGGTGGACAGGAAGGACTTGGCTACAAGGCAGTTCACACACGGGGGAAGGAACCAGACAGGGAGCCCACCAGATGCATGAAACCCACTGGGTTTGAATCCTGGCTCCACCACTCACAAGTTTCATGACTTTGGTGAAGTCACTTCTGTCCTCTGAGCCTCTGTTTACCCATCTGTAAAATGGTGGTGGTGGTGATGGTTGTTGTTGGGTACCATCAAGTCGATTTCAACTCATAGCGACCCCAGAGTAGAACTTCCCCATAGGTTTTTTAGGCTGTAATCTTTACGGGGGCAGAGCCCGTGGAGCCACTGGGTGGCTTCGAACTACCAACCTTTTGGTTAGCAGCTGAGAGCTTAACCGTTGGGTCACCAGGCCTCCTTAAAATGGTTGTTATAGGAATAAATGAGAACATTGGCTGAAGCTCCCATCTGCATGATCAGGCACAGATCCTCCATGAGCAGGTGAGGGGCAGCAGAGCCAGTCCTTCCCTCGGAACTGGATGGCTGGGGTCCTGTCCACCCACTGAAATAGCGACTGTGCCCCCGATACCACACGTGGGGCCTCCACCCAGGGCAGCGTGTGCAGCTCTGGGCTTGGGGAATGTCAGTGCTGGGGATCCACATACTTGTCAGTCATTCGGAAATGTCACAGCTTCCCACCCAGACCCCCGTGACTGGCCAGTGCACCCTCTCC